ACGACATTTCATGAAGGAGCAATGGGATTATGCTGGCAGTATTTTGGGTTTGGGTATTACGAGCAAACTTGCCGCAGAGGGAGTAGGTTTATAACCTGGTATCACGCGTTATAAAAAACGACGGATTTATGTTAAGTTAATGTTTCTTTTGATGTCTTTCAATATTCTTATATTTTATAAAGAAGTGAAAGTGATGTATGCATTATCAGTTAAATTTTACCGGCCAGTCATGTATTAAAGTGCGAAGTAAATTAGTATATTGGAAAGGGGATTTAATTTGCTGTGGTGTGCCTGTCTCATCGGATCTTATGCTCACGGGTATAAAGCTTGAACATTGTGTAATACAGTAGGAGGTTCATTGGGGGCAATGTTTTGTGTCTAATTCCCGTGATATTGAATAGGCCAACAGATATTGTATCTTCCCTTGAAACAGTTGTCTCCCTAGTCCTTTCAATAATCGCAAAGTATACATGAAAAGATGTGTAAAATACATTTTTTTATTAAATACTTTTCAAATTTTACAGAGTACAGCAATAAATGAATATAAAATAGCATCGTTCAAAATATCGCCCCCGTCTGTAAAATAAGATGGGCACCCAAACACGATAAACACATTTAAAATTATTTAGTAAGAATTTGAGTACCAGACAGTCATTAAAAACATCTAAATCTAATAACATGCTAAAGTATTCTTCATGTTTAAATCTCTTCAATTTGGCCACATTTTCTCGATTTTCCAAATTTCTTTGTTTTGTTTTTTGAGGTTGACTCCTCCCCCTGCATTCATTGGTCATAATTGACATCTGTCAGTGCTATGGAGTATGGATGCCCATGTGAACGACAATGCCACAGATATTGAAGCGGTACATTACAGCGATTACACTAACAGGATTTTAGTGCATATTGATATCATTCTAGAAACAGCGTCATTTGCCTAAATGAAGGATGGAAACTTCCAGATCAGGTCAAGGGAAACGATGATTTGTAAATGTATAAGGGCGGCCAACTAGACTGGAACGGCAGAATGATGACTCTTTGGAAAACTTCTAGATGTTTCTATGAGCTTATACAGGCATTGAGGAGGGTATCTGAATATAAATTATTCACTTTGTACAATGGTCCATTGCACTTAACAGGGAAGATCAAAGGTCTGAAAGTCTAAATTGGTGTAATCAATACAATAAATTCTAGTGGTATTCCGTCCCTACTGCAAACTCACGACAATTAAATGTGTTTCTAACTGGATTCAAAATAACCCACACTACTTCTAGAATCTAGCTTCATTGAGTTAGAAGTACTTATATTATTATCACATCTGTCAACACCATGTCAGACATTTTACTTAAGTGCTCGATTAATTAAAACATTTTGATGATTACGTCGAGAACGTATTGGGAGGTGCTTTAGATTTAAACGTAAAGCCTTGAAAAATATTGTCACCATAACTATTAACTAATGGCGTCATTCTAAGGAATGCAAAGAATTACCATAATTGGGCGCCAATCCTTGCATTTCCGTGAAACCGATATCTTCTCTGTGATGCACCACGCCCATCATTGGAATTAGTGCTGGAATTACTGGATAGAGATGTTTTTAGGGGCGATGTATTGGGTTTGAAATTATAATTCCGCTCAATTTCAAATGAACTCTATGTTTTATGGCCTAATATCTCCGAGAAATTTATACTCATAGTGATTCAGGGCCTTAACATAATCAATAAGCAGAATGAAGATAAGCAGAGCATCCCAGAAATTTTAAGAATTTATCTCCACGAAAAGTTTCCTGTCCAAAGCAATGATCTCAGTAAATTTGAATATATCAATTGATATGTTATTGTTAGTGCTGAAGCACTGGCAAATCGGTAACCTATAGCACACGCCTTCTCATGAAATGAATGCTCAGGATACTCAGTGGCAGACTAACCAAATTTCCACTTCATTTCTAATCGTTTTACGATCGAATACTCATCAGATATTTTATACGGTCCGTCAAACTATGCCAACAATTTCCACGCAATCACTCAAACTTCATTCCGCTAGTTAAAGTTTGCTATTTGAACTCATAATTTTGGAAAAGTAAGGAAACATTCCAAATATTAACAATTTCCTAAATGTGTATTATTTATTAATTGTTACGACAGCTATTTTAAAAATAAACGATTTAGTGAACATGAACTTTGTCGTATACAGACTATAACTTAGTAACTGTTCTAAAGACGAAATGAAAGGAATTTTTATAATTTTAATTAAGATTTGTATTCAGTTGATTAAAGTCTGGCAGCTAAGCAGTAATTTCGGCCGGCAAAATTTAGGAAGCTACATAATAGGTATGCGGATGCCGTGCTAAAAATGGGATATTTTAGCTGTCCGCATTTACTTTATTACCAATAATGACACAAACTGACACAACTCATCGGGTTGCGGTTGAAACAAACTATACTGATGTGTAATTCATTTAAGCCATTAGTTATTAGAGGATATTTCAATTTGGAACGCCTTGAAAGTAACAAAGTTAGGCTGATAAGGACTCTCCAGATCTAATAATGTAACAGAAGCTCTAGGATACATTGTTCCTAACATTCCTTATGATAAAATCATAGTTATGTTCGAGTACGTATAGTCACCGATAAGATACAGACTGCAGTTTGGAGAAAAACCCACAATTTACCGTTAATAAAAGTAAAATCTTTCACATCTTGTCTCAAATTCGCGGCATGGCACAACACGCTCAGGTCGTTGCCAAATAGTTTACATCGTGTTGTATCACAGTTCATAGTTTCCAGGCGTAAATATATGCCTGCAGGAAGTCATGCAATGGTAATTGGACTTTATTGCATTATTAGCAGATGTCACGTTATCCATTGCGCAAACTTTTGTGATCCCTGATCTAGCTGATGCCTGTCTAGGGTTTAGATTAAGATACCTCTCATCACTCTAGAGAACTCTCTAGGCTGCAGAAACCCTTCCAGTTTTTAAGATCTCTCTAATTTGTTACTTTTATAGTTTGTGTATGCCTCTCTAGAGTATGATAGCTCCAGGTTAGAGTATCCTATAATAGGTCTATCAAGGATGTGAAACCATTTCAGGTTCTAGAGACATTTCAGGTTCTAGAGAGTAATCCATGTTTTAGAAACTTCTCGATATTTTACTAACCCTCCAGGTTATAAAACTTGTAAAGCTTCTAATACTAGAGGATCTTCCTAGGTGCCTCTCTCTTTAACTCAGAACACTCCACAAGGCTCTAAAGACTTCTATAAGTATAGGCTAGAACAAGACCACTCATGGTCTCTCCTAATAGGCTCTCCACTCTCCAGGTTTAAGGGACTTTTAGAGGCCTATCAATGTGAGTAGGTGGCAGGTGCCTCTTTACGACTTCATATTTTGGAGGGTCCTCCAAGTTTTATAGGTATTCCAGATTCCGCAGCCATTTTTAGGGTCCAGATTTTTAGGTTCCACAATTCGAGATTTAGTCAGTTTTGGACGTCGGTAAACGGCCGTTATCATAGCTCATGTATGCAAAATAATTAAGCCCCATAAGGAAAATAGTGAGTGACATAAGTTCACATAACTTATTGAATATGAAGAAATGATGCGAATAAATGATGCGTGGGCGTGTCAAGGCGTGTCAATATAATCAGCAGAGTAGCTTGGAGAATTTTCTGGAGCTAATCAAGACCGAGCTATGCGTGATCTGACAATGACAACGTATAAATATTTCCATCTTTTAGAATCTTACAAGGTCCAGATTGTTCTACAAACAATAGCGTCAGAAATTGTTATCATGAGGCGAAATATCGGGAATATTGGGCCACATTCTGCTAAAAAGAGCTCCATTCTTGAAATCATCGGCCGCAGTAAGCACGTTTAACGACAAAAAAGCAACGAGGTTCTAACATAGTTCAACACGTTCCACCTGCCCTGCTGCGGCTTCATAAGCTGTCAGGATACCCGGATCATTAGCATACAGGATTGTTAGCACACTTTCAAAACTCAGCACTTGTAGCAACTTGGACCCACTCCTGTTCATTCTAACTGGTGACTGTCTATAGACCCTCTTACTCCCTTTAAATGTGCACTTAATAAAGTATGCGGGAAATAGATATTTCTTCACGCCCACTGATTGCAGCAAAGTAAGTAAGTAAGGAGGCACAGACAGGTTGAGTTTATGAAAATAGCAGGGTTTCAGGTAGGAATCTGGGATGGGCTGCATGGCATAATAAGGGCATACCACAATATAGTTACTATTAAATAATGGAACACATATAGTCCGTCTCATTATAGGAATATCTCCATATCGTGTTTATGTTTTTCCAGTAGTGACAACTCGTCAACAGTTACCAATACTTCTTGTACTCCCGAAGCGTCCACGAGGCGGCATGATGCTGGCCTGCAGTCGCACGGTCGCAACAATTACATAATCACTCAGCTCGTGTTGTCCTGTCGTAACTCGAGCAGGTGAAGTGAAGGTGAAGTAATTGGTGCTTTAGTAGTGAAGCTGGGGTCAAGTGATGAGGTTGAATTACATGACGCTATAACTCACTTATTGGCTGTGTGACGTAGAGTGTAGGAGGAGGAGCATGCTCAAATAAGACCTTGGTCTGCCAATAATCCGTCAATAGACTATTCAATTTGTGACGTAGGAACGGAACCATGATGTAATACCGAGGTGCTAGGGGACAGGAGATGCGGCCACAGATCTAGGGTTCTCCACAGTACACTTTTGAGGTGGTTATGTTGTAGTGGTTTTTACGTTTATTTGCTTTGTAGTGGCCGTGTTACGTAACCCCATTAAGAATTACCTTTAGTTTCACAAAGATATACTAGTCGTTCATGAACAGACGACAATAGCATGCTAAACGAGACAAATTTCTTTTATTTTCGTCGTGCTGTATCGTAAAATGATAACAATTTTCATATTTAAAAAAATATTCTAATTACGTTCTGACCTAATTTTAGATACAGAGAGAGAAGATGTCATTAAGTGTGCTATTATTGTTTCAGTTATGTCACAAACCTTGTTCCTTGTCCTGTCAGTTCTCCTCGTGGGTGTGGTCAGCAGACCCAGGAATCTCAACAAAAAGAAAGAGCTCTGTTGCGGAGCGACTCACTCAGCCTACAACGCCATGGCAAGAATATCCCACCAATTCGCATATGAGCTGATTGGAGAACACGTAAGACATGCGGGACCAGTAGACGTGGCTTTATCACCCTACAGCATCATCAGTGTGCTACAGGTCAGTTCTAGTTTCCTCTTATATTTGTTTATACCGGGTGCTACAAATTACAAGCTAGCCCATCACATCCTCACCACCAGCGAAACCCGACCGCCTACTAATTATAAGCGATCTATAAGTATAAATAGGTTATAGTTCTGTAATATTATACATTTAAAGAGCTCCTACTAAATATTATACCCGCGGAAATCTTCAGCCATCTGAGTTTCCGTCTCATTCTGCCTGATATCTATCACTTTTCGACGTCAGCACTCAGCATATCTGTAATAAGTTAATCGTTCATTAAATTACGAAAACAATGGCACTTGTGTTCCAAACTTCAACTTGAACAAAATTATCATGTCGCCATTCGCCCGGAAATATGAATCATGAAAATGAGTATTCTACTTATAGTTAGGGTATTATGGATATTTTCGGGGAGTAAATTTGTCACAAGCATTTCTGTGCAGGAATGTGTTGTCCATAGTCCCAGGAACCACCTCAAAGAGTTGTAAAAGTAGATCTGATGGGCACAACTAGCTAGAAAATATTTTCTCCATGCGCCTACAAACAAAATTTAAACTTTTTTTCTGCCATAAGGAAGGCACTCGGAAGCTCAATAGGATCAGGTGAAAAATGACTGCAATGGTCACATTATGGCAGGCGAATAGAATTACAGTTTGAAAGTGCTCATACCATGCCATCACGAATCGAGATATTTAAATTTTTGGAAGAAATTGAAAGTCGTTGGTATTTTTGGTCAACTTTTCTAACTTCGTTCGGAAGGTGTTACAGACTTCTGCACAGGTGAAAAATAGCTGCAACTAGCACATTTATATACAATTAATGAAGCAACATATGCCCTACAACACTTGCTTTTCCAATTATCAGCGAAAAACCGATTTTTGGCCTCGCGAATTGAGAGAAAATATAGGTGGGTGATCATTATAAATTGAGCAATAAAGGTCCAACGAACTTCCAAATAAATACAAAATGTCTGTAATCTTGTTAGAAATGGACACAATTACATAGATATACAACTTGTGAAGCAATATAATATCCTTAAATTTAATTGCCTATTTTTTCGATTTGTGGTCGATATATTTATAATAGACGGAAAAGGCAATTTATTTGTGAAAAAATGCTTTAATTTTTTTCATTCCCTTTAAAAACGATTTCTAATAGTTTTATCGGAACTAAATTGGATTGTGTTTTGTAAGTAGATCTAATAATGCTATAAATGATTCGGTAATGACCTATCCTGAAATAAAATGGAGTATTAGAAATATTCCAAGCGTTCACAGTCTGGTGAAGATAATTCTCACGGCTCACCCTTTTTATTGCAGGCACTCTCCCTTGGAGCCAGAGGTATAACAAAATTAGAGATTGATTCGCAGCTCAAATTCAGCGCCAACCGAAATCACGAGATAATGAAATGCAGCTTGGACTCCTTCCAACAGGTAATGGGGTACAGCTTCCTGCATGCAGCTTGAGCAGGAAATTACTCAATGATAACACCTGGTCTAGAAAAATAGCACGATCCCGAGATTATAAATTTGTACGATGTAAAACTGGAATTTTGCAATTCTTGCAATCCTCTGACTCACATGAAACTTCATAGTTAACAACGTCTAATCAGATACTTTGTCAATGGATTTAGACAAGCCAGCCATGTTCAAATGGCCAGGGTGTAGATAATTAATGAAGTAACCGCCACCTAAGCCACTGTTTACCACCTCTCCTCTCAGGAGTCTAACGCAACAGTCCTGGTAGCAAGCAGACTCTTTGCAGATGAATACCTCATGAAGGGTCTGGACCCTGTGTTCGCCAAGGAGCTGAAATATTACTACGATTCGGACGTCCAGGGGGTCCCCTTTTCTAAAGACCCTCCAACAGCCTGGAAGGCAGTCAATAAATTCGTGGAAGAGAAAACCAATGGGATTGTCAGCGATTTCATGAACAGGTTTGAATGACGAACCGTAGGCCTTTTCATTAATATTAATAATTAAGCGGTTGATTTGTTTTGCCATCAAATTGCTCATCTCATATCTGCACGTTTCATCTGTATGACAAAAATGGATTAATTTCCTTTCTTGCTAGCAAAACTCTATAATGCGTAGTGAAAACTGTAAAATAAGCGAGGTCACCCTGAATACATGTGAAATAAGGAGATGGAGGTAGCATCTCAAGTTTAACTTTTAGATAACAAACAGAAATTATCCATAGGTCAAGTCAATATAAACAGAAACAGGGGCACATCCTTCTAAGTCTAAATTTCGCATTATGTTCATATTTTGACTTTCGCTTTCACTGTCAGATGGGATGCTACAAAGCTGATGTATGTTAACACCATAGTGTTCAAAGGACGGTGGAAACAGCAGTTTAACACCTCCCTCACCCGCCAGGGTGCCTTCTTCCCCGCTCCCCGACAACACATAAACGTTCCCATGATGACTATAGAGGGCCTCTTCCGCACAATCACCATATCCAAGTTCAGATACTACGGCGACAATCTCAAGGTAAGAGAGTAATTATTTTATTAATCTTACGATCGATGTATATTTATTGTTTAACAAATGGTAAGAAACATGATATTGAAACTGGATAGAATAATATATCTACCTTCTAGAACTACAGAACTAATTAAGTTAGGGTTAAGTAGTTAAATGTGCCTACTATCAACTCAACAATCAACATAGCTGCGTAAACCATTGCACGACGTAAATGAGGTCTAGGATTCAGCGATATCATTGCCAGGGTGACTGAAAATTTCCACTCCAAGGGTGAAAAATTGCTAGCCGGATTTCAAAATACGTGCTAACAATAACATAGGTATTTTCCCCAAAAAATAAAATACGTACAATACGAACAGAAATTTATTTAAATCACAATACCTTCAAATAGGAAACGTTAACTCAATTTGAAACGTTTCACTCGCATAAATTAAACAAATCAAAGATCAGTGAAGGTAAACACTGCCCTTTTTATGGGGACAAAAGCTGAATCGGTTTCTAAATTCTTGCCATTGAGATCTGATGGTGTGAACCCATTCACAAGTAAGACTAACCATACAAATCTTAATCTTATTCGAGGGCTAAACTCTAAAGCAAAGGACACAAATCTGCCCCTAATTTATGAATGCTTTGTTTACTCATAGAACAAGGATCTATCTAATTCTCTGCCTAGATACCGAGACAAGGTTTTGTAATGAATTCTTCAGACTCAAAATGCCCTTCGTCAAGATCCTTTCTGTTATGTTGATATATAACAGATATCATAGTTCTGTCTAGTAAACGACGACACTGACAGCCGTTGTTTTAAAAGCTATTTCTAATTTTCATACATTTGATAAGATATTATCATAACATCAAAATTCAAGGCCTTACATTGGTTTCATGCCATTTACCGTCCTTAGATTTTTCAGCTGTCATAAAACATTCTAAAACATACTTGGCACCATATTATAAGTTATTATACATATTATAAGTTATTTATGGCGATGGGGAAGTCATATCAAGCACTCGTAAACTATGTCCACTCACAGTCACAGAGTATTCTTACTCTTAGGATTATAAGATCTTAGGTGTTATCAGAGCGATACAAAATTTTACAGAGGTAGACATGCCCTGCCGATAGGAGTAAACAAATAGTTTTAAAAGTTAATAGACGCCAGTTTCGAAATTAAGGGCGACCGGAGACGATCATGATAATTTAGATTGTTTCCCATGACGAAATCTTTTTGTAAACACCGCGGTGCACTGAATAGAGTAAACTTATGTATTAACATAACTCTGCAATTGTAGGAAATCTGCACCTGTCACTCAAACATAAGGTTTCCAACGGAATTAATTAATTTTATGATTCGAATCTTTGGATCTTCAAATCCAAAGAAACACGTACTCACTTTAAAACGCACAGGTTGTAGAACTGCCGTACTCAGACGACAAGTATAACATGTACATCTTCATGGCTGAGAAAGGGAAACTAGAGCTCAGCTTCATGGAATCTATCATCAACCAGCACACAATTCCCGCCTTCAAGAGCCACTACCTGGAGGACCAAGATAGACCTCTGAGAGTGGTTCTACCCAAGTTCAAGATCGCTTCAGAGATTGACATATCCCGGGCACTGTACAACAAGGGAGTCAGGAAGCTCTTCTCAAGGGATGCTGACCTGGAGGGGATATTCACGGATTATCCCGTTCACTTCAACAAGATGTTCCACAAGTCCGTTATCGAGGTGAGACCACAAACACTGCTACTCTAGGTTTTCTTGTCTGCAAGCCTACTATTACTAATATCATACTCTTGAACGATTTCGATATGCTATGACTTCAAAGGTAATAGTTTTTTATATGTTGAGATTCGTTATTTATAGCTTAGTAACGAACCCGTTTGGTAAATGCAGTTCTTAAGTCTTAAAGATATGTATCTATTTTGAGAGAACACATCATACAATTAAGGCTTCGAACGGAAATAACCGGCTTTAAATATTGAAGAAAATTGCACATGCAAAGTCAAACTGCACCCTTTTGGCAACAATTACTATTGCAGTCAGCTGATAGTCTTTTTCAAAAAACATTTACATCGATCTCAGAAATCAATGGTTGGATTCCGTTTAAATTTAGCCGCAGAGTGGTCCTTGTCAATATGTGGGAATTGAAAGTTTGAAGTTTTCAGCTAAATTGGTTTGGTTATAATAGTGCGACTTAACTTTAATTCTAAAAGATTTATTTGAGTATTTGATAATAATAATATGGTGCGACTTTACTTTAAATCTAAAAGATTTATTTGAGTATGTGATAATATACTACGACTTAACTTTAAATTTAAAAGATTTATTAAGTATGTGATAATAAAGTACTTTAAGTTTAAAAGATCTATTTGAGTATTATTATCTATATGTGATAAAATGAATAAAATTTATTTCACGCCAGGTAACTGAAGAAGGTACCACAGCAGCAGGCGCAACTTCCTACACCCTAATCAGAGCTTTTGAGAAGCAGGAAGAGTTCATCGTCAACCGGCCATTTGTCTACGTGATCCACGATGCTTGCAACAACATGGTCCTGTTCCAAGGGCGCTACTATGGGAGAAATCAGAATGAGACATGAGGGAACGATTTAGAGGATGATTTAGAGATATAGCAGCTATTTAGAGTTAGGTACAGCTCAACCGAACGGAGCCAGAAATTAAGCTAAGAGACAAGACATTCAGCAAGATAAACCGAAACATGAAAACATCACTTGACTGTTTAATATATGATTGAATTTATTTGAGAATTTTTTTATTTAATTTCTTTTTTAACATTTTCTATCAACTTTTTTGCCGTTTGGGGCCAGATAGGCGTTTGGAAAATAAAGTTGATCAATATATAATTTATGTTTTAGGGATGGAGTCCAGAGTCTGAGTCGTTGATGACGTTGACTTATAAGTGTGCAAATATTTGAAATGTTGAGACTAAAAAGGTAAAATAAGGGTTTTCTGACTTGCCATCCGTCATGTCAAGTAGACTGATAAACATTTCACATGATGTTTAATTTATATAGCTTGAAACCTTTCTGGCCCTCTCAATATTAGAGAAAATATTGTGACAGTTTTGACCTTATAGGTCATGTATTTTCGTAAAAATTTCATTAATATCGAACTGTAAAATTTGTGGAATCTGAGATGACATGGTATTTTTTAGTCAGAACAGGTGATGACATAGTGTAGGTGAAGGATCCGAGACCCGTGCCCCACCCAGGAATTAACGCACTTATATTGCCTACTGTCAGTCCTGTTCAGTCAAACTTGCGGCCATCACTTCCCAGTTACTAAGCGTTTTTAAAATTATAAATAGAAGATATTGACAAATACAAATCCTTCAGTTATTTAAGGTGTAAAATGTCTCAGCCATGCCCGAGTACGCGGTGGCACCGGCGGAAGTGAGCTGATCAGGAAGAGAGTTGGAACTCAGAACTTTAAGCGCGGTGCCAGCATCCGACTAGCGGGGCCCGCCCCTCTCCTCCTAATAGAGACGTGCCTGGCCCAAGGTTACCGTCCCGCTCAAACTCTCGGCTCTAAGGTTGCCTGGAAATGTGAGAACCCACAACACTCCTGTCGTTAGGTGTGCCTCGAGCTAATTTAATCTTTGCAAACTTGGTAACATGACCTTAAATAGCATTAACTGTCCTCCAGCGCCATACTCCCAAAATTGAGGGGATTGTGTGGATCTGTTTCTTCCTCAGCAAGTCAAATCAGTTATAGTTCATTAGTCCGTAGAATCAGGATAAGCATATCTGCCCTGGAAAAGAACCAGTCCGTCGCAGGAGTGATAAATGTAAAACACGAAGGGACAATCAAACTTCATTTTGGAGGCGAAGCCGCGCTGAACAAAGAAGCCTCCAGTTGCTCCGGAGGCAACAGTACCCTCCTCAGAGACCTCTATAACAGCTTTGTGGATGATATTGCTGATGTAAAGAGCGTCTGCGAACCCGCTGTAGTCAGCTCGAGGAGAGAATACTATTCCAAGACCAGTGTCCCGAGTGAAGATCTCGTTCAGATCCCGGTCATACTCCATCCTAAACTTGGGGAAGGTAATTGCTGTGGGGAACTCTTTGAGCGACTCCCGGACCGTCAAGATGCCTTTATCTGCCACGTAACTCTCGATAGCAGCCAAGTCTCCGAAATGGTTGCCGCTGTATCGGATTGCCATCATGCTGTACTCAGCGGACTCAAAGGGCATGTCAACTATTTCCACTTCTACAGTACCTAGTGCTCCTTGTGGTATCTGGACCCATTCACGAGAGAAGTTTCCTTCCACTTCCATGAACTCTGTCTGAAAATATTAGAATGGTTAGTTAAATATGGGGGTATAACGGAAACGGCTTTCAAGTTGACTGTTTATAAATACATTTTTCAGCAACAATTCACTTTCTTCTGGCAGGAACCAGTAGTCCAGTAGAGGCATATTAATATTATGGGCCAAAATTATGTAAAATAAAAAAAAACCAGTTTTCTTACCAATTCCTCAGTATCTTCATCAACATTGAAGATGCCATATGTGGTTTTTGTTTTATCAAACTGATTTTTCCAGTTCGACTTGAAAGCGATTGTATTGACGATGATCAGTTTTGTCTCGTTGCTGATATCACCAGGAGAAAAAAGGTTCTTGATGAGACCGTTACTTTTATTCTCGACGATTCCGTTGATTCTTTTTAGTGCCCTGTCCGGTTTCCTTGCAAAATTACAATTGTAGAATGAAGCTCGATACAAATGTTCTGCGTTTTTCCTATACTCTCTCGTCTTCTCACTTTCCTTATACTCAGATGAAATGAAGAAATCATTAGTGCTGTTCAGAGTCTCAGTTCCCGTAGAATCATAGATTCGGTCAGCGAGGCATTTAGAGGCAAGGTGTATGTCAATAGCTTGGGACGAGAGAGCATGACTCAGCGCTCCATTAGTTTCACCTGAAATATTCGTATACTTTAGAATGAGAGGAGAAAGAGGATCAGGAAGCAGGATTGCTCATTGTGATCACAGGATAGGAAGTTCAAGTTGTGACTTATGACCGCATGATGACACATGGTATTATTTCAGCAGTCGTCGTGTCATACTTATAAACAACTGTTAGACATCTTCGCTAATTGATATTATATTGGAAAATGAAGAATACAAGTGAATGAATAAAAGTTATTGATTAGAAGATTACACAACACTAAACACACATGAAATGTTATCTCATTTGACCGGCCTTGGCATGGATGTTGATATTCTAAAGCCGGCAAATTAATGAAGTCGCTCTACAATCTCTTTTTAATCGGGTGATCCAATAATAAGCAGGTAAATCACGCCTGCAAGGAAATTCTGTAAAATACTTGCATACCAGTGCAGGTGTGGTTGGGCTCATCATGTAGTCTCTTGGAGTTGAGGCGGAAATGGTAAGAGCAAATAGTAAATATAGAATACTTTAAGATAAAGGACGCAAAAAGCATGTACTATACCTTGAGAAGCTAGAAGTAGAAGCCTCAAGATGTTACCGACACTGTTCGGAGATATGAACAAATTCTTATCGGATTTACCCATTTCTTGCATTATTTTGCTCGTTAACTTTTGTGTGCTTTTCGTCAAAATACATTTGTCTTCTTGGATCTGAAGGGTACCTCCGATCAAAATTCAAATTCAAATTAAATGTTCTTTAACTGTGAAAACCTTTTCATCATAGATTTTGAATCTGCTGTCAAAACTAGAAATCATTGATCATTATAATATCAAATATTCATTGAGATGATCAGCTAACTGCTATATAAATCATAACTAGCGATACCATAACTATCTTAATAAGTCCTGATCAAGCCCCAACCAAAACGATTACCCCAACAAATCTGCAATAAAACATGTCTAAAATCCGGCCTGATGCTAAATATGGACAAGTAAGGACTATAAAATGTGGTGCCTGGTGTCTGTTTCACGTAAAGTAGTAGGTAGTGTACGTTTTGGCAAAAAGGCTAACAAGGGGTTGTTCACATATTACGTAATCACTTTTTCGCCAATTTTTAACCCCCCTCCCCCTCCGTAATCATTTTAACACATAGCTATTGTGTCAAAATTACACTAGCGTAATCATTTGGAAACCCCCGTCCACCCTCCGCTGATTACGTAATATTTGAACGACCCCCAAACAAGATAATATATTTTTTAATCACCTGAAATTTAGTGAAGGCGTTGCAGCAGGAGTTGGAGCATGAAGCTATCAAACATCCAAAATATGTGATGAGAAGAATTCCACACCGTAACAAACCGTTCATTTCTTGGAGCAAGTGGTTATAAGTCACATTCAGAGAAAAAACTGCAAATTTAACTCGTGTTACAACAAAATTTTACTTGAAAACTGACTAGTTTTGAATTACAACAAATTGGGCATAACCATCACAGCAATCCTTATCTCACTGAAGGATATAGGGCTCTCAAATTCAACCACAAAACAAGCAACGGAAATTTAAGTGATAAAAACCGACAAGAATTTACTTAAATTGATAATAATTTGGGTGTTCCACGCCCAATTACAAGCGTGAGTTACCCGGCCCTCTTTGGGAAGGTTTGTAAACGAAATTATCCATGGAATAATCTAATACCGCTAATGATGGAATCATGAAAAAATTAGGGCAGTTTTACGTATGTAAGTGCACGCCCTCAGCAAGGGATCATTTCCAGCCCCAATAATTCAATCTCTATTCTTTACCAATATAGACTTGGTTTGACAATTTAACGAGGTTCAGATATCCTCTTCAAGCAGTAATATCACTTAACTGACAGCAAAGAATTAGATATGGGCGGAAATGCTTCGAATTTTTCAGAAAATAGTTCGGTCATACATATCAGTTTCTAGCTCCAGTGAAAGATTTTGACAAATTCGGGAATCAGGATTAAGACGGATTTAAGTCAAATCAAGGATCGATTAGAGATAATTTAAAAGTCGACAAATAATTGTTTGATAAATATAAAATTGAGTGTTGGGTACATGCAAAGGAAAATTACGGTCGGGCGGTTTGAGTATCGATAATATAAGTTCCATACACAGGGTATTTTTATCATGATATGTGATGCTAAAAATATATTGTGCAGTCGTACTGCTGCACAGTGATCAAATTACCACCAAACTTGTAAACTTGGAGGAGGGGAACGAGTTGTCAGGTCCACTTTAAACGACTTAATTAATTAATTCTTTAAACTGATCTAGGGTAGAGATATATGGAGCCTGTGTTCCGAGGAAGTTTGCGCCAATGTTTGGTTGTAGAAAATATACTTATCCATGTAATCCAAGAGTTGACAATATGCCAAAAAAAGAAAGTACGATATGGTCATATGGAGCACATTTAGAATGCGAGAACATTCTAATGCTACCCAGTTATCATAAAAAGCTTAATTTCTAAGAACATCACATTTTTACAATTCTCACATATGACGTCACTTGATCCTCTACCCCCAGCCCTCCCAGTGCGAGTGCCACTACCCGTGCCTCCTCGGGAACCTTCTTCCTGCCCCTCCCTGCTCGATCCCCTCAGTACGCAACGTAATTTGTGCGAACTCTCCTTGAACCTTCTAATTCTCAGTATTACTATTACGGAAGGAAGTATGACGGAATAACTGAATAATGCGTACCATGGCTAAAGTTCAAGAGAATGATAACATAACACCGTGTTATTGGTTATTTGACAAATGATATAGATAAAAATTGAAACCAAAGCTTGGAATGAAAAATGAGATTAATATTCCCTGTAACTGGAAAGCAAGTCCGTAAGGTTTATAAGGTTTCATCATGCGCGAAAAAACCTAATAAAATACCCCAGATGATCGACCTACATACCTCGTACGGTTATAATATGAAATTTTGTTCAGTTACTGGAATGACAGATTGACAGCTGCAGGAAACGGCCCCCTCCTTGCCAGGTTGTATCGTCCGGGTCTGTGCAATCTTCACACTTACGCCCTTGGCTAAGAAGAATGAACAGGAGCATTTTTAAGATGTATTGTGCATAACACGTACATAGAAAATGTGAAAAATGTTGATATCATTAAGCCCGCATAGTTCTAATGTACCGTCACATTAGTGACTTAAATATATTCATAGCGGTATTACTATACCACGTACTCCAATAAAATTCGATCAATTTCCATTTTCAAAATCTCTTCTCAGTAGAAAAATAACGTTCTTCACACTAATGTCTCGTTGACAATCCAAGGATGCTTGACGAGTTTGTCAAAATTTAGCCTGTGTTGAGTGTTAGGGTTGAGACATTGCAAGATCAGGGAGTAAGCATCAGAGCTTACAGAGTTTGGAGGTAACATCTCCCACCTCACGTTATTCCGAGCAGCATCAGCAGTAGAGAGGAGGGGTTTAGAACCGGACAGGAGTTCGAACAGAAGACATCCCACAGACCAAACCACAGCACATTGGGGGGAGTAGGAGCCGTGTCGGTACAGTTCAGGAGGTGCAGAAGTGAGTGAAGAAGTGAGGGGTTTCAGGGAGTGAGGCAGAACTGAGAATATGGCCGAGAGCTGGAAGTTTCCCAGTTTAATGTCGTTAGTTTCCAGGTCTAAGTAGATATTGTCGATAGAGATATCACGGTGATCAACTCCGTTGTTGAAGCAGTGAACAACAGCGGATAGCAGCTGCTGGATGATGTCTCTAACTTGGTCCTCGTCAAGATAGTTGGCTCTAAGGACATCAGAGAGAGGCTCCCAGTTACTGGAGTACTCCAATGTAAGGGTCCAGGTTTTAGTCTCACTCCGGTAAGAGAAGTCCAGGAGTCTCTGAATGTTAGGGTGGGAGAGTTTGAGAAGGTTGTGGACCTCTATGGGGATCAGCTCGCTAGTGGAGGTGGTGACAGGCAGAGTCGGGGAGTAGGGGATAGTCTTCAGCAGAGCTTCCATAGTCAGAGCTTGTTATTGTTATTCAAAGAAGAGTTTATAATTGTTCTAAGAATGTGATGTCGATTAAATAGTGTACCCGGTCTTTATACCCCTGGGAGAGGCTCGCTTAACTAGGCGTACACTTGATCTGGTCACGTGATTAGGTGATCAAGTAACGTGATGCGTGCCTCAACGTAACAGGGTGGTGAGATGCCCATCTCACTACCCTGTTACATCTCAGAGATGGGGCAAATATCTGTTGGGAGTTTGAGTCATGTGATCCCATGATTGTAATTCTTCGCAGAACTATGTTAGATCGGATCAAATGCTCAATGTTTCGTAACACTAAAATAACAGAGTGGAGAGGAATGCTGATCTGCGAGTAATTGACAATAACAAAATTACAGTGATATATGATGTATCAGGTAGCTGATTGGTGTTCGTTCAAATGCAATTCCTAAACGAAACAGCATTTTACTAACAGTAAACGACCTTAAAAACTTCAGTTCAGGTTTAACAAAGCTAACTCCAGGTAGCCATAGTCAGTTATATAATAGTACTATTGTTGAAAGCTCCCAACCAAGTAACTGTACATTATTTAATATTTACCGTATAAACTATGTCGACATTCTTGGTAATTCATCGACCGTCGCCCTTAGCAAATTCTGCAAAACATGATAGCAAAATCTGGAATAATAGTTTTGCCTGGCTAATATTTTTATTATATTTAAGATCCCTGTAAAAGCCCTTATATATGTAGCATGGCATTCTTTTTATACCAATATTAAATATCGTACAGAATTTCAGATTAGTATAGCGTACTAGTTGGAATTTACGATCTTAATCACGTGACAGCTGTGTTATTTAAGAATTAAGTTTGTTTTGCCAAGCTCTTGTCTGAACAGCGAACAGCAGTTTGAATATAACATTTGTGCATTTTTAAAGAATTTGTGTATATGGAGGTTTTATGTATTGTAAAAATATGGCTATACAACTAAGACTCTTGAATCTAATTTAAATAAAAGTAAAATTTAAAGGTTACATTGGTACAAATTGTGAGGCGAAAAACTTTATTTACAGGAAACGTTTTAAATCACCAAAATACGAGTTTTAAAACAAAACACGTAGTTTTAAAACAAATATGAAAATTACACCATACCAAAGAGATCCACAAAGCAAAAAGGCTCAGCTCACTACACTGTAGAACCAAGATAAAAGATAACACACCATAACCATCAAAACTACATTTACTTAAATTTAATGTCTTAAGTCCCTACTTTGTTTCAATTTTAAAAATCTATTTAGACTCAAGGTTTTAGTATAACCTTTTTCTCCCTTCCCCTCGAAATAAAAAATACATGCAAATTTTCCGAACAAAAACGAACCGTAAACGACCAAGTTCAAACGTGAAACAGAATAGAGAGCGCCAAAAACCATAATTAAATTGACTAAAATCCATACTCCATAGGATAAAGGCAATGTCACTTCAATAGAATTCGAAATTCACAAATATTCGACAATTCTACACAAGTGGGTAAAAACAGTCCACAAGCATTACAAATGACTTAAAAAAGCGGCCCAGATCAGTCAGGACTGCTCACTAAGGTGGAATACAGAGAGAGGAAGCCCTGAGATGTCGTAAATCAAATAGCCGGCGGCGAGCTACTTTATTTTACTCCACTTTAGGCAACCTGAAACGCAGATATCTTAATATATTTCGGGACAGTTAAATATACGAGCTGCAATGTAGCGTACCAGCACGAACTCACATAAATAACTATCTACGGAACACTTGGTTCCCTGTTTGTGGAGGATCTGTGATGCAGCCGGAAGTTCGGCCCCATTTTTCAAACAGGACCTCATTTCCAACAGCATAGCAGGATGCGGAGCAGGAAAACCGATATATGAGGAGACGATTTAAGGGTAAAACTAGACAGCAGCAATCAGATACAGACGTAAAGCTTCGTCAATCATGCTTAATTCTAGAAACGAGCGCCGACACTCAAAACTATAGCTAACGTATAAGATACATATATGGGGGAGGGGGCTGAAGATCATATGGTTAAATCAGTGACACTAAAACTCAAGTCATGCACCGTAATTAAGATGGGATTACACCTTTTGGTGACGTGAAATTGTGGTAATATGAGATGCGGAGTCAGAAATACTATTGGAACCACTTAGCAGCGGTTAAGTCATGCAAAGTAGGATATACAATCCCTCTTCTTTCATTTCATTAGATACCCACATATCATATCAATGTTGTGTTACCGGCAGCGCGTGTAAATGCACAAGCCGGTTGACATATGTATTTTGCTGTTTTTTGTTATATAGTTGCCAAGAAATAAGAAAAACAAGTCAACCTAAGAAATTCTGGAAATTTCGGCAGTATCCAAGAGGCCCGACCCAGCCCGCGGACTGTTTATGACATGATGGTATGCAGATCAAAATGAATGATATCTTGGATGCAATCAGTTATGATTAATATTAATTATTATGTTGTAGATTACTAAATGATTACGATTCAAATGTGGTACATAAGTCATTCGATTTCTGTGGGGTCTTGCAGCGTCATATAAATCCATCTAGAGACTTCGAGAACGAGCAGGGAGCCAAGGACAAGATACGCTTCACCCAGGAAGCCAGGACAGGATAATATGGAGTGCTTTAGAAGTTTTTTCTGGAATAAAAAGTTTCGAGCTTTCTCTATGAATGACGTGGGTGCATTGATTTCGTCTAGTAGACAGTAGAGTACCATGTCAAGAATTGGAATAATTGTTGTCGTCGATCATAATGGTAATTCATAATACTCCACAGAAATCGAATGACTTATATACCACTACCAGTACCACATTTTAATCGTAAATTTCATTCAGAAATTTATAACGTTATAATTAATGCTAGTCGTGACTAATTGCATCTAAGGTATTATTCATATGATCTGCTTACCATCATGACATTTAAGTAGTCCGTGGACTGAGTCGGGTTTCTTAGATACTGCCCATATAATGATGAAGTTTGTGCATGGAACGGTGATAAAGAAACTAAAAGATTAAAATATTTGTCATATTTTACAAATTTGTTTGGTTGTATTTTTAAGTGCTCCCTTATCAGTTATTTGTTGCTAAATCGCGATAAGCGAACGCGTGCTATTGTACATTTATTGTACATTGCTTGTATAAAACTCAAATAGTGTGTGTAACTGACATTTAAAGGTTCAATATGCAAGACAAGGAAAACCTGAAATCAGTAAGCGATGATGCTAAGAAACGTGTACTTGGAAGCCTACTTAACAAAGCTGATGCCCCCAGCAAGAAGGTTCTCAGTGTGTATAGTTTCAGTGCAAGTTATAAGACCAATCTGAAAGATATGAAATCACTCACCGCAGTTCAACTAGAACCCTGTGCAATATTTCTAGGTTTTAATGTCAGAGATGGTGTGAAGAAACTGTACACGAATAAACAGACTCTATGTGATAGAATGATTCTCAAGATCGAGTCCTTGTTCGACATAGAATGCGAGGACTGTAACGATGTGTACTGTAATGAACTGGGAAAAGAACCGCTCTTAAGATGCCGGCTATGCTTACAGGGCTCCCACGATTGTGAAGCCATGGCCGAAAAAGCCAAGACCTTCAACGACCTCATTCAGAAAGGACTGCTTCCTTTAGGAGGATCTTGGCTCTGCTACGAATGTTCAAAAAAGAACGAAACACGCTCACTTCAATCTCCCCAGAAACCTACCAAGAAAAGGAACACAGATAGTATAACAGATCTATCCACTATTAAAGAGGTTGAATCTGAGGTAGAGGGCGAGGGAAACGACGATGAAGATGAAGATGAGGATGAGGATGAAGACAGGGAAAGCCCTAGAAGAGGTAGACATAATGATACCGAAAATAACCCCCAGATTTGCCGGGAATACACTATGAGGAAGTGTCCCCACGGCCTCACTGGCAAACGTCTCATTGGTGGTAAGAAATGCTCATACCAGCACCCCATCAGGTGCCGCTTTTACTCCAATTTCGGAGACGACAAACGCAGAGGATGCAGGAATGGGAAGAAATGCACTTTTTTCCACCCTAAACTGTGCCGTAATTCAGTTGCGAATCACGTATGTTTAAACAGCGATTGTGGCTTCCATCATCTTAAAGGAACGGCCAGAAAGACTGTTGGAAACGTGAATCTCACTGACAGAAATCGCCTGCCTCAGCAGCAGCAGCCCAAAGATACGAGAAGAATAGAATTCAACACGAACAGAAGTTCCTGGCCGCCTCCTGGTGGTTATGATGTGGACAGAATGGGTAGTCTAAACTCCCTCAACACCCCCTACCCACCCACTGTTGAATATCAGAAACCCCTCAGACAACGTAAAGACAGTACATCTGAGAGGGATAGTGCTTTTTTAGAGAAGCTCATGGAAAACATGAAAAACGGAATTATAACCCAGATGAACTCCAAAATGGAGGAACTTCGAGGGCAAATTCCTACCCTTGTCCAAGAGACACAACGGAGCCAGCTGGACCCGAGATCACGCCAAACATCCTCTCAGCAAATCTCGACACAGTTCCCACCACCAGCACAGTTCTCAGCCCAAGTGCCACTCCCAAACCAGCCAATGCGGATGCCGATGCCACTAAACTTCATTCCCAACTATCAAGGATCTTGCTACTGAATGCTCGGTCCATCTCCCCAGCCGCAACCAGCACTGTAAAATGGAAGATTCCATTCATCCAAGACCACATACTTGACGACCTAGGAAGACCCCCGGTCCCTATTCTCGCTATCACTGAATCATGGTTGAAGCCATATATCAGTGATGCTCAAATAGCTATAGATGGGTACAACAGTCTTAGAGCAGACCGTCATAGTCGAAAAGGTGGTGGTTGTGTGCTTTACGTTGAAAACTCGCTGCTAGTATCAGATACTGTAAATTTTAGTGACAAACACTGCAGTATGCTGCATTGTTTCATAGACTCTATGAACGCCCTTGTCTCCGTGATATACCGCCCACCAGATGCTCCTCCCGGATCCTTCAAAGCAGTCCTGGACCAGGTGCAGGAGAAACTAAATAACTTGACATCGAACGATAGATCACCTGACATCTACATTATGGGGGATTTCAACCTCCCAAATATAGATTGGGACTCTTGCCAAGCTTTACCTGGTCAACCGCTTTGTGACCAGCAAGCTTGTTCCGAACTAATTGATTTCATGGAGAGAAATTTCTTGACACAAATGATCTGTAAGTCCACGAGAAATAACAACACCATCGATCTCGTCCTCACAAATAAACCACAGGACACAGTTGAGACAAATATCTCCGAATGCCAACTATCTGACCACAGGCTAGTCGAGCTCGTTCTCGGACATAACCCGCTCTGCCCAAAAGAACATACTCCTATATCTTTCGACAGAAACTCTTTTCGGGCGACTGATTTTCATAGAGCAGATTTTGAAGCAATGAACGATCGTTTAGAAGCTGTTAACTGGATCTCTTTGAGAGAACTCTGCTATGAAGATGAAGATGGAAGTGCCTTTCTGGAGCTGATACGCCTAACTGTCCTCCAGATAACCCTCCTAAACTCGCCTTCTAAAGACCCTACTGGATCTGGCCCTTCCCGCCCCCGTAGAAGTCGCCAAGTCCGTGAAAAATACACAATGAAGAGGAAAAGAAGAAAACTCAATGCCCAAATAAGTGCACTTACTCAAAACAACCCAACTTCGAGAAAAATCGAAAAGCTGAAAACCGAAGTGAATCTTCTGACCTTCGAAATAAGTGAACTTGTGATCAAGCAACTTAACGAAAAAGAAGTTAAAGCTGTAAGTACAATAAAGACGAACCCAAGATTCTTTTATTCTTACGCTAAACGATTTGCAAAGGTAAAATCATCCGTCGCCCCAATTAGAGATAAAAACGGAACTCTGAAAATGGACCCAGCGGAAAAAGCAGAAATTCTCCAGACTCAATATGTCACAGTCTTCAGCAACCCAAATTCTGCAAATGTTGAAGAATGCCTCGCCGGATTAGATCCTCATCCAAAAGAAGATCTCAACACATTCACCTTCACAGCAGACGACATATCAGATGCCATAAAGGAACTAGACCCGTATGCCTCCACCCCTGATGGTGACATCCCGGCCAAGATCCTAACTAAATGTCGAAGGACAATCGCTGAACCAATTTATCTACTCTGGAAACGCTCATTTGATAACGGAGTCATACCATCTGGCATGAAGACACAGTACATCACGCCTGTGTTCAAGAAAGGAGACCGAACATCTGCTGCTAACTATCGCCCTGTCTCGATAACCTCTCACATTATTAAGATATTTGAGAGAGTGGTCAGAAACCATCTTGTGGAACATATGGAGTCAAACAGCTTTCTCTCCCCCCATCAGCATGGATTCCGCAAGAAAAGAAGCTGCTTAACTCAACTAATAGACCACGTAGATAACATCCTGAAAACTCTCAACGACGGCAACGAGGTTGATGTTATATACCTTGATTATGCCAAAGCGTTCGATAAGGTAGATCATCAAATATTACTTGCAAAGGCAAAACGCTATGGAATAAAAGGAAAGACTCTGCAATGGCTGACTGAATTCCTGAAGGATCGCCTGCAAACTGTGGTCGTGGAAGGAACAAAATCATCCTTTCAGCTAGTAATCAGTGGGGTACCCCAAGGAACAGTATTGGGACCCATTCTTTTCATTCTATACATTGACGACCAACTTGATACATTGGTTACCGCTCTGGGAAAGGTGTTTGCTGACGACACCAAGCTCATTGGAAAAATCATGGACTTAGCTACCAAAAGCCTACTTCAAGACGACCTCCTAAATGTAATCGCTTGGGCCCTGAAGAACAACATGCAACTAAATGAGGCCAAATTCGAAATATTGAATTACAGCTTGAACAATTCATTACTGTTAAGAGAATTGCCCTTCACCAGTCAATATTCCTGTTACAATTTAACAAATGGAAGAACTATTGACCCAGCCAAAACTGTGAGGGACCTAGGGGTTCTCCTGTCAAATGACTGCTCCTGGTCTTCTCACATACAGCAGATGGCTAAAACAGCAAGGACGATGACGTCATGGGTCCTTAGCGTATTCAGAGATAGGTCACGCTTCCTCATGCTCACACTCTACAAAACCATGGTGAGAAGCAAACTCGAATACTGCTGCCCGGTGTGGAACCCTGACAAGATCAGCGATATAGAAGCTATTGAAAGCATCCAACGACACTACACTCGTCGAATCAGTGGCTGCCAGAACCTTGATTACTGGGAACGCCTGCAGAACCTGAATCTTCTCTCATTACAGAGACGCAGAGAACGATACATCATAATCCATACATGGAAGATGATGAATGGATTAGCTCCGAACGACATCAACATGCAGTTCAAGGAAAGCTCCCGACACGGTGTAAAGGCCACTGTGCCTGCATTTAACAAAAAGGCACAATGCTCAATCTCGACCCATTATGAAAACTCTTTTGGAGTAAAAGCAGCCAAACTATGGAACCTGCTCCCCAAGGAAGTTAACACAATCCAAGTCTTGGAAACATTCAAATCCTCCCTTGCTAAATTCCTGAAAGGCTTCCCGGACACCCCGCCCACAAAAGGGTATACCGCCATCACAAATAATTCTCTTCTGGAATGGACTCTACAAAAAGATCTAAGCCAGGAGTGATTGGAGGACGTACTTGATACTGTTGTCCAGAAGCGATCCCTGCCGAACCTACCTAAAGTAACCTAAAGTAAGTTAAGAGGCGATACAAGCAGATAACATATAACAAGGGGAAGGGAGGGGTATCTTACCAAAGAAGGTTCCTATTCTTAGCAAGGGACTCCTTAAGATAAGTGAGAGCCTTGGTGCTGGGCAGCGTGGTAGTGAGAGGCAGCATGAACGGGTATATCTGCTGGAGAACTCGGATCCTGAAAGAAGTCTACTTTGTCTGGGACCCAACAATAGTGTTCGATAATCTGAACGATCAACAAGGAAAATCATAAATCGCAAAACCGTTCTTTCATCACAGTAAGCTATACAAGTCAGCAGTCTGATAGAAATGTTTTTAAATGAACTTACCATTCTGCCTGAACCTCGAAGTTGGAAGGGTTCATTGCGCACAGGTGGTCAGCTCGCTGGATTATGTCGTTAATTAAGCTGATCCCCAGCTGAAAGAAAATATTATGGTGGTTAGTGAGTGATTGACATTGCTAATTACAAAAAAAAAACGCGCAGTCCGTTAATGAACATATTTTATACAGACGTCCGTTAATCAAATAGGTAACAATTTTTAACTAACCGGATTACGTAAAACGGTTTCTAAGGAGTGACCCAAGTCACCATAGTAACTGAGTCCATCAACAAGACTCTTCATCCAGACGTGCATCATGTTAATAGTCCCACTGTGAATTACAGATCCTAGTGGTTCACACAATTGAGGCAGTTGCTGAAATTGATAACATTCTCATCTTATTATTTGATTTATAGGGCTATTCTAGGTATAGCGATAAAGTTTCTGATTGCCAAATGGAAAAAAAAAGATAAGAGGTTTTACACTAAACTTATTTAAACGTTTGTAAAGTTGTATTGCTACACTGGGGGCCGGGGGTACACTACACTTTTGCCTTTTTTGGTATGGTGTAGTAAAAAGTGTAGTAAAAAAGGTACACCATTTTACACTATTTTACGCTATTTTACACTATTTTATAATTTTAATCAATTTTTAAAAATTATCTTCTAAAAATCTTCTTTTTTCCTATTATTTTTCAATCAGTCTTCACTTAGTACATTTCCAAAGGAATAAATAAAACCAGACGGTTAGCACACTAGTCACTATCAACCATATGCCACTTTTTTCACTGCCCATTTCACTGTCATATTGATAGCATCATATAGATAGCGCTAGCAGGTGCTGATAAGACATGGGCTCAGTTATTCTTTTTTGTTTTAACCTCAAGTAGCTTATAAAACAGTGCGTATGATCATCTGTCGTATCAAATCAAATTATTTGTCACTATATGTCAATAAATCATGATATACAAGTTTTAATTTTTAAAGTTTCTGTTTTTTTTTTTAATGAATAGACGTAATCAACATTTTAAATTTTCATATTCACGCATATTAAATAAAATTATATTGTTATGTATTACAAAGCATTGTATGAAAGGTGTAAAGTTGAAAAGTTATCCAAGCGTATTGAACACCAGCGGTGGAAGATGTTTGGACACATTCTCAGGAGTATGAAGAACACCCCAGCCCAAACGGCTCTCTCTTTTGCTATTGAATCAGATAATTTATTCATTGGTAGATTGGGGAGACCTAGAATGAACTTGTTATCGGTTTTAAGAAGTGATTTAAGTAGTATAAATTTGCAAATGGACAACTTGCATGAATTGAACGAAATTAGAGATATATCTGCATGCAACAGATGTTGGGAAAATCTTTTTCAAGGGTACAGTTTACCGCATTAAGGTATTTTTAAGAATCATTTTTGTCGGTAAGATCCTGTTTTATAATAATAATAATAATAATCCATCTCTTGCCCTGCAAGCCCTGTTTCTTGTCTATACAGCATATAATTATCATGTATCACATTGTAGTATGTAATAAACATTTGTAGTAGTGTAGGATTGTTTGAATTTCTTTTTGCTATGTTCTATAATATTTATTTGTATAATTTGTGAGTGTTTCTCCCGCTTTTCTTCCCTTGCGCAGCAAGCCCTGTCTCTTGTAAAAACAACCTTGAAAGTTTTGTAGATACATATAGTTTCTACACCTTTATCCTCTGGTCCCTAGGGTCAGCTGATCCCGGGCCAGAGGAAAACTACCGACTGCCAAGGTCTGACGCCTAGGCAGTCGAGACCTCTTATTGAGACCCTTTATAATAATAATGTTATGTATTATATTATTTTGTAAACATTGGCCGGGTACCAAAAACCGGTCCCCAAACAAACAAACAAAGGTAAAACGTACCTTTGGTGAGAAAAAAAAATGTCACTTTTAACACTTTTTAAGGCTTTTTAAGGCTTTTTAGGCTACTTTACACTACTCTTTTATACACTACACTTTTGCCTTTTTTTAAGGATAGTGTAAAAAAGTGTAGTGTACCCCCCGCTATACTGCTATAGTTTACCTGATGCTTTTTGTCGTGAGCTATGATAGTAGCCATGTTTCCCAGGAGGTGATAAAGTATAGCTCGGCCGTGTTCAGAGCGCAGTTGTGTAACGGAGCGCGCTAACATGTTCTTTCCTTTACTCGTGCTCAGCACGTGCACTAACAGTTCCTCGTTTATACTCCTGTTTAATCAGGAGCACTCATTAACGCATTAGTTTACTGTGATTATAGTAAAATAGTTCGATAAAGAAAAATATAAAACTTTATAAATATGGTCTAACTTGTAGACGTTGAAACTCCTTTAAAAACTAGAAAAACAAGAACCCATCTTATGTAGATACTAACCCGGAATCAGAGATGCAGAAACAACTGAACATTCTGTCCGCCACCTCGTTCTTGGCGTCAATAATCTTACTACGCTCCTCTGCAGGAACTATCAGCAACATCCTCTCCAGATCCTCCAACTCCAGCAAGTAGTCATACATTCGCTCAATTGTGGAGAGAACACTGTACTTCTTTCTTCCTGGGTCTATCCCTTCTTTTTGGTGATTCTGGGAGTTTTATCTTATTGTTATGTGACATTTATTGATAGCAACCCAAGTTAAATAAATCATGAAATTTTAATAATAACCGGAATAATACCGATTATTGTGAAGTTTGTACCGTGATAATTGGTTGAAGATCGTTGAGGCTACAGTCTAAAACTTGTCTGGGGTTCATCACTGTTGAGATTGACAGCTTTCCCAATGTACTCACAAACTCCACTGATAATTATTTAACGATAGCTAATTACTTAATTACTTAGTCAACACATTATAGTATCTTTAACAAAGCACGCTACAGACTATAAAACATACTGATATTAATTTGAGTCCACTCCACGCAATTGAATTGATGCAAGTATTCGATTAAACCGGCAGTTCTAAAGTCTGGCGTTAATTTACTAGAATCTGGAGTCATTCTCACTTGGTTTATACTCCTTTTTGTCGCTGTTTTTGGTTGGATTCGAAAAGAGGAGTTTTGGTGTGACTAGGAAATCCGTGTCCTTTTGCTGCTTTTTGAACAATAACATCTGAAATTTGAGTCACTATTAATATGCTCCTAATAAACATGACGAGTTCACAATTTCAAATGTGTGCAACCGAAAATGCTGTTTAAAACTAAAACTCCAGCATACTAAATTTCACGATGACTGATAAAAACAAAGTTAGATATAATATTTTTACCTGATAGTAATAGTCCTCTTCGTAAGGATTTGCAGTTTGAATCTGTAACATTTGTATCTTGGTGACCCACTGCTTCTCACTACTGCTCATCAGGATGCTGTCCATCTCTTGGGGCAACTTGTCGTTCCTCTGTAATTTCAGTTTATATAAGAAACCTAAAGACTGCTCCTTAAAGCTATCATCTTGAGAAAAGTTTGATTTTTATGGATCTGACAGTAAATTAAGCTAAGAAGCTGTTCATCAAGCATAAAACGCACAATTAATCTGACCCGAAAGAGGTGGTTACATTTAGAACTGACATGGTTACGTTGGTTTCGGTTGTTATCTTGGTGTCTCCGGTTTTGGTTGTTGTTGCCGTTGTTGTTATGATATCCGTTGTAGTTGTCTCGATTGTTGTAGTTATTGTAGTTGTTGTCTCTGTAACCGCCGTGATGTTGATGTTGATCCCTCCCTCGATGATAGTTATTATGGTAATTGTTGTTGTTGTTGTAGTTGTTGTTGTTGTTGTTGTAGTAGCCGTGCTGGTTACCATGGTGTTGATATCGTCTGTCGTAGTTACCATAGTTACCACCACCACTACCTCCGCCACCACCACCACCACCATGACCACCGCCACCATGACCTACACCACCGCCACCATGACCACCGCCACCATGACCACCTCCACGAGAATTAGTATTTTCAGAGTATGAAGAACTACGTTGCCGAGCAGGAATTGCTGATAGTTTTGCTTTGGTTTGCTGGGCGTTGAACGGTTGCTTTACTTCTTTAATGTTCTGAAATGATTTTAGTGTAAAAATAATCACATTCTATAACCGAATACTTCTTATTCACAAAGCTGCTTAGATAATAATATTCAACTTTTAACAAGTACTTTTCCCGAAAAAGTAAAATTGTTAATAAGAGAATGAAGAATGAACCTTAGTGCTGGGAGGAGTAAGAGCTCCACTTTTTAACATTTGTAGGAGCATTTTACCGGGAGAGTTATCACCATGCCACGAGCTGGACGGGGACCTCTGAAGTTAAGATTAGTCATAAACTACACAGTACACACACCGAGGAGGAGTTTAACTAAAAGCTGAATCTTAGAATGGCTGAAGTTGGTCGCACATCGTGTTCTGTGAAAATCGTAACTATCACAAGTAAGTATAAGCAGCTGCTTTCAGCGGTTACAGGAGAGACAAGCTGAGGAAAAAGAGCTGCATAGAATTCAACCGAGCGAAGGGAGTGGTGCTATAATGCTATATGTAGGTGGGATTTAGGAAGAAGCCTGGCATTTCGCATTTGGTTCCCATACCTTTTGTTCTAAACCGTTACTTTGATCCCAAGATCCACGGTCCTAAGATTTTATTAATAAAAATTGGAATGATTTTGCAGCTTTTTAAAACGTTCAAACTGCTTGCACACAATGCACATGACCATAAATAGACAAATGGTTAAAGCACCACATGGTAGCCACGAAATTAAAACACAATCTATTAGTAATAAGACAGATTCAGGTAATTCTGATTAACCGTACATGAGTTTACTTGAGCTCGAGCCTCGACCTAATGAAGAATACAACATGACACTGACTCAGTTTCGTGCAACATCATCTAACTTACACAAGTCTCTATAGGTGGAGAAGTTGCTGCTGTCCATATCCCACCACCGTACGGACTCTCTGGAAAAGTTTTATCCTGACAGGAATATATATCAGGGGCTTAGCCTAGGGGTAATAGATCTGAAACCTGATCTGGGGAACCACATTTTTAAAAACATGATAGTGACTTTTAGATTTAATTGCTCGCTTCGGAAGCTGATTGATAAGTGGTTGTTAAGTGTCTAAACAAATATGGTTATCCTCGCCAGCAGTATTCAGATCTACAGCAGGGTGACATAATTATTAGCGCGTAGAAAAATGTACAACCAACAATCTACATATCGATTGATTATTATATTGTACGATAATTTCTCATTTAGATGAACCTGGAATAGCGTTTGTATATTTCAACCAGGGAGCTAATTCTCCAACTGCTCAATACTAACCGGATTGTGCGGAATGGGAATAGTTTTGGAGGGAGTAGTGGGTTGTTCTTCTTCATCTTCCAGAACCATTTCAGACACTGAGTGAGCTAAAAACTCCTGTTCAGAGATTTGTGTTTTTAAAAGTAGGAAAATCAGTGGGAGTGGCAAGGAACTTTTGGTGGGATATCAAAATCTTAAACGTTTAAATACTCCAAACATCAATTGCAGCTATAATTGCAGCAGCTATAATTGGAGCGCATGAAACCCGTTAGAACACAGACATTTATTTATTTAAGGGCTCGTTAGACCATGCATACCTCCTCATCAAAAAGGATCTTCTCCGTGAAGGCAGGATCGTCGAAGGTGATATTATCATCGTACATGAGCCGGGATGAGTCTAACTCTATGGTCTTGGATAATTCCTTGTGTTTCTCCTCCCAGCCGTCGTCCTTAACGGCCCCCGAGCCAAATGTCTCATCATTATCATAATCGACGGGCTGAAACATAAACTTTAAACATGTGCACATTGATCCGGTAATATTTACGCTGTAAGTAGGACAAACTAATGAACAATAAACCATTCATACTTTTTGCTCTTGGTAAGGGTGTAACTGAGCAACACTCATCCACTTGCATGGAATTTTTGATGCCCGAACATAAAGCAATGTGTAAGACTAAGGCTCATGATTTTATAATAACAATAGGGCCCAGTAGTAACGAGACAAGACCTGTACATTTACCAGAGCAGAAACTCTGCCTGTATGGGGCTTTATTCCCACTTCACTAGAATCTGTACAATCAATACTAATGTACTCGGTGTATCTAGTTGGTAATGTCTAGTTGAGTGGAGTAGAGTTGCTCACTGTGTCACTGCACTTGTAGCCCTCAAGGGGCGAAGCACCCTAATACCCTGCACCTCATGAAGTATTCAAAGCTAAATGATGGAATATTAATGAATGATATTCAGTGTGCACAATACGGTTAATAGTATAAAGGAGTGATTACCTCTTCGTCTTCGAATTCAAATCCGTCCGGATTAAAATACATCCACCTAAAAAGAGTGTATCGTGAAAATTTTACTCAACATAAAGATTAAAGATAAAAGAATAATGTATGTATTTGAATTCATTGAATTTGATATAAAGTGTAGTATCGGCAGTGAAAATTTTAATCACAATTTGAGAGACATGTACACGCAGTAACAATACTTTTACACTTATAGACACATAGAATTGTGTACTTGACGAGTGACTGTAACTGAATACACGATTTCGTATCTTAAACAAAGCTTAGGCTCGCCTCATCAGGATCTGCCTCTTTGTGCTTCACATGAATTATTCAAACAGTCGAGACAGTCAGTAGTTTAGATGGCATCTAATCATCATACTTGTTAAGCTTTGAGTAAAACTGCTCCTTTGAAGCGCTAAAATGGGTCATGCCAGGGATGTATATCTCAAACCCCGCTATGGGGCAGCATTACTGTACTTATAACGGGAAATCAACAATTTCACATCTCCAGAGATTTATAAGAATCTCCGGCGGTCTCGAGTTTGAAAATGTCTAGCAGGTTTATCTCTAGGCAAGAAAGAGAGTGCTCTCTAATCGACCTTACTGCAGCACTACAGACACAGTTTAAGAAGAGCTGGATTATCCTGAAGGGAGAGCAGATAGTCGTAAGTCTCTCTCTCCCTCTCCCCCTCTCTCTCTTTCTCCTCTCTCTCCTCTCTCTTGCTCAGCACTGTCCCGGCTCTCCCTCTTTCTCCCTCCCTCTCGTATCCGCAATTTAAACTTCTCTCTCTTTTTCTCCCTGGATCAAGCAAACTTTAGTCACGATACCATCGTTTCTTGTTTGAACTATAATCAGTGCGTGTGCAAGTTGCTGGGATGGTTGTGTGTAAGAGTTGCTGGTCTGAATGTACTAAATACACAGGAGGATGGATAACTAGCATTAAAGGTCCTAACGACGGTTAATGTCCCTAGTTTTACACGAGCACCAGGAAACTCAAGCTAAGGTAATACGACCACGCTCACTCTTCTTTAACACCTATCAGTTCTTAGATAATACAAGTACAGGAAATGATCGTTAGATTGTTCCATCTGTTGTCCACTGACATTAAAATAACTGTGTACCGTTCAGCCTCACGAATAATCGGAACTTTTGTTCCACTTCCACCACTCAAGTGCTAATGTCAAATCGCTAGAAAGAATGTCTGACTGCTCGATGAAATTATCTAAATTCTGCAGCGGAACCAGGTGAACGTAAGGTGGGAGATTAGAAAAACTAAAATCGGTAGACGCATAGAAAAGATGGTAATTTTCACCCCACATCCTCAAAGAGGAAACTTTTTCTAATTGTTCCTCATCTAAGTCACATCCAAGCTCACGTTTAACTTGACTGACAATAGGGTCAGTATTTTCAGAAGATTGCGTAACACAAGTGAAAAGCTCAGTGGTAATGCAGCCATCTGTCGACAGTTCAACCCCCTCAGGGTTTAATTCTTCGCACGGCACTCCTTCTTGTCTGCTTAAAAGCGCGGGCCGGAACTTCCGAGTTAATATGAATGATTTAGAGTTAACATCGAACAGCAAGACACCCTGTCGATGTGAGTCTGCGCTCAAGATTTCCCAAAATCTAGGATTACCCTCACGTTGAAAGTGAAGGGTGTAAAACGAGAAGCGTTGGGACCGCTTTAGAACAGCAGATCGGACATTGTTTACAATCGTGGGGATCTTCATCGTCTACCAGACATATCCTGGGGATAAAGATTGTAATTTTAAAATTCATGTTCGAAAAAATTGATTTTCAGGTCGATTTCCTTATCAGTAAATAAACCGTTATCTCAATTATCATTCGGTCACACAATGAATTATGCGTTTGTGAATAAAGTCTTCGATCGCGCGGGAACACTTCATTCAAATGAAATGCTCCGCGCGCTACGTTAACAGTATTCACGGTATTCTTTGTTTTCAGATTTCAAGGAAATCATTTATTCGAAGCTGGACTCTTATAGGGAATCCTATTTACAGGAAGGAAAGCAATAAAACCGCAGAATGTAAGTATAGCGTAGTTAAATACGATATTAAATTAAATAATTGTCAAGGGAAATTTCAATCGAATGAGGATGTTTAATCACAAATAGTGAACATAAACTACAAATCTTAATAAGAACCCTACATCATAAAATCAGACATCAGTTGCCACAAATAAAATAGACAATGTCAGCTACACAGCGTCAAATATATTATATCATTATCGAGTATGTATTTTCCATGGAAATAATAAATATGTAAGGTTTTAGACATCATTCTATTATAATTATTTTGATACGGATTTAATCAAAAGCCAGCATGAAATTAAAAACCGTGCCTTGAAATTTCTGCAAGAGTGTCATCAGAGAAATCTCGTAATGTAAATTCATGATAAGGATAAATGACTAAAAAGCTACATATTCTAAACATCATACACGTAACGCTGATCTAAAAAACATCCAACAAATATCAATTATATGGGTAACCAAGGGACAGTTAAAAATAATCACAGTAAATTAAAATGCTCAATACAGCAACATTTTCGGAGCTACTCATCTTGCAAATGACTAGCTACTTTTTCAGATCAACTTAAATGTAACAAAACACGAAAGATATCCCTGAAACGGGACTTAGAATACCGCCCATGGACGAAAACGTTGCTGAATTTGTCGAGCAGAGTTCAATAATTTATATATTCTAGGTAAAATAATGATAAATCTTGGTCAAATAACAAATCACATAAAATCTATGATGAGGCTACATGATAGTATAACAACGAAGGCCACGAATCAAATACATCGCTAGACTATCATATCATTATTTAATTGATATTATATCTTAAGTTGAGAACTTTGTTGTACCTTCACAAAGACCAGATGGACATAGTTAGCTTGCATTGAAGTTGTGAGAACCAAATGATATGGATGAGAGATGAGATGCTGCAATTCATACTTAGAGCAGTTTCACAATCTAGTAACTTGAAATGAATCAGCTCATATTACAAATATGATACATTTTTAACGTTTAGAAATCAGATTCTCTGAAATATAAGCCCCTAAAATCAAATATCTGATACTTGCCTAAAAGTGGCACTAAAAGAGATTCTTTCGTAAACCAATAATTCAGGAGACGTTAGCAGAACTACGAAGCCAGCATGTATTCTCAAAGTAATTTGTATGATAAGATACCATCTTCTGTATTAAACAGGAAAAAAACTTTGAACGAGATGCATTACATCACGAAAGCACACAGGAAATGCTCCAATTAAATATAAATCAAATAATACAGTGCACAATACATGTTCTACACAAGATGATACCTGTTCATCTTTAAATGATAAATCTGTACACATAAGCCTACCTTGATCTGCTATGATAGCTGTAAAAGAAATATAAAACAATACCAGGACAGAATCCTGAAAATAAAAATATATAGCAAGAAATGCTTCAATCAAATAAACTATTGTGAAAATCATTTCGTTAAATAAAGAATAAAACATATAACAAGGTATGTGTTCCACGGTGTATGGACATGGACCAGCTTCATAAAATAAAACATATAGTGACATTTACTTACACAAATATATAATAGCTACAAGGTAAAAGTTTCAATGAAACTGGAAGCTATCCAGAAGAGAGTTAGCAAAGTCAGTGAGCATGGTCGAAGATTCCTTATCCTCTACATAACACTCCCGCAGGTGTGTTACAAACTCATTGAAATCGTTGTGTTTGGTATTGCACTGCGGGCAAATGTTGTCCACATGATGAACGTTGATGATGTGCCCCCGTAACCGCTTTAAATCCTGCTGAAAGGCCATACATATGGGACACATCATCGTGTAATTAGTGGGGGGAAAGGGTATTGAGGTGTGTGTTGCGTATGTGGTGTAGGGAACTTTGTAGGGAACTTTGTAGGGAACTTTGTAGGGAACTGGCTCGGTAATCTGGACTTTTGTGGTCAGTTTCTCAGCTAGAGTTGGAGGGTTGTAGACTGTGGTGTGACTGTAACATACATTGGTCACGTGATTGTTGAAATATTTGAGTTTTGTGTAAACAGCGGAACATTTTGGACATTGGTTCGAGGATCTGAAGTGTATCATCATGTGTTTGTCACGGTGGACTCGCTGTGTGAACTCTTTACCGCACAATGTACATGGGAACTCTCGTATGTTCTGATGAAGTTTCATGTGTCTGTTGAGATTGGAGACTCTGGTGAACATCTTGCTGCAGACACGACAACTGAACTTCTTGTCAAGGTGCTCCTGCTCGATGTGCTGTCTCATGTCGCTCTCAGATGCAAACACTTGACCGCACCCTTCCTTCCTGCAGGGGATCTGCTGATTGGTATGAGTAAGAGTGTGCCGGTGCAGCGCTGCACTGCTTGCAAACGACTTCTGGCAATAATTACAACCAAAGTCTACAACAACGGACGTTCCCTCGTGTTTTCGTTTCATGTGGTCAGTTAAACCATGCTTGTATTTAAATGATTTGTCACAAAGATTGCAATCAAACCGTTTTTCAACATACATTTCAGTGGAGGAACCCTCTCTAGGCGCATAGTCTATAGACAGAGTTAATGGAATGTGATCACCTGGAACACTGTCCGGAACAAGGGTGATTGGCATACTTTCGTAAACATACTCCAACTTCTCAGACTTCACATTCTCAAACTGACCATAGAATAAGTCTTTTGATTCTTCTTTCATAAAAGTACTCGACATTTCTCCTGGAAAATATTTGATTAAATAATTTAGGCGTGGCACTACTTACTACCGAAATGAAATATTCTTTGATCTTAGATCAATTGTATAATTTTAAAGAAACAAAGTATAACATTTGAAAATGGCACACATTTTGTTGTTTTGGAGTAGAGAGAGACGCAAAATATTTATGAATACACAATATATAAAAATCTGTAATACTATACTACTATATACACAATATTGGATATATTTAAACATTAAATTTCTATAATTGACTTATGCAATCTGTCACATAAACTTCTGAAAATTTCTGACATGGAAAACATTAACTTTAAAACTAAATGTTCACTGACCCTGTTCACTAATTCAAAAAACTTATAAATAATTGGGGTAATTTTGCAACACTCATATTCTCATTAGAGAATGCATAAACTGATGATCTAAAAAGTATAAAGGTTTCATAATGAATCAGAGTTAGTAAGATCTATTTTAATATTATATGTACATAGATTCAAAGACCTTTTCTCCAGGCAGGCATAGCCCTGTGAGGCATTCCACGACTACCAACCACTGGATTGTTCGAAGACGACTTATCTTTTTCCCGATTTATCTGAACTTTAGTTTTTTGAAGCAAACGAGAAGGATCACGCTTGGCATTTACTTTCGGTTTCATCTTCTCAAGTTTCTGCTGCTGTTCAAACTCGGCAATTATCATCTCCTGTTTCTGCTGCTGCTTCTTTTCAACTAGTTTCATATTTTTCTCATGCAACCTCAGCAGATCGGAGCTGGACACACTCGACTGTGCCCTCTCACTCATCAACCTATCGTGTTTGTTAGCAGCTTTCTGTTCCTCTTCTAATTTCATCCTTTGTCTATAAGCTTCCACCTTTTCTTTTTGTTTGAGAACATATTGTTGGCGTTTAGCTTCTTTTTCCTCTGCGGCTATCTTAGCTTTAAGTGCTTCTTCCTCAGCCATCACACGTTTAAGCTCTTTTTGCACTTTGTAGGCATTCAAATAGGCAAGTCTCTCCTGACGCTCTTTTTCATGAAGCTCCTTTTTTTGGGACTTCATTTTTTCCAAAGTAACATTTTTGTTAATATTCTGCTTCTTTTGTGTAACCTTGGAATTTTTCGCGTTTCGCCATTCCTCCAGTGCATCTCGTTTTGCTCTTTCCAAAGACTTAAATTTTCTGAACCAACTTATTTGATTCCCAATCTGATCATAAGACTTGAAAGGGAGAGCTGGGCTCATCTTGTCCAGCATTTCTTCATCAGATGAAGATGAATTATATATCTTCACGAATAGTTGATGTTCAAATTCTCCCCATCCATTTGTTGGCCCATGAGTGGAACTATATTTATCAAACTCAACTATCGCAGGATGGAGGTTATGTTGGTTGGTTGTTTGAGTGCGTGAATTTACTGAGGTAAATCGCTGAGGGACACTAAGTGGCTTCTCAAATTTGTGAAGCTCATTATCAAACGATGCAAGCTCAGCAGATAAAGCAGATTCTGACACAATCAAACTGTCATAGATAGATTTCTGATATCCTTTCATAGTCGAAATTTGTGATTCTATTAACTCCATGACTTTCTTTATTTGCTGGATCTTGTCCTGTTTTGGCTGCACCAATTCAGTTTTGAACACAACAATATAATCATTAGCTTTCTGCAGGTCTCGCTCAAATTTCTTAACCTCAGTTTGCTGCTCTTTCAGATATGTAGCAGACGATTCTGCAAGTTTACACTTGTAAGATGAGTTATGTTGAGTGTTCTTATTGAGAAATACTGAGACATCTTTTTCCACAGCAAATTCATTTCTTTTGAACAAAGCTAGCTTCTCGAAGAACTCAGCATTCGACATCATTGTGAAATAAGCATTGAATACCTGTTAATGTATACTGATAATGATTTGTAATCATTAATTGTTAGTAACTGGCGAATAAAAACTGCAATGCTTTAACAAGAAATCATTTACCAGTGTAATCTGAATTCATGATTTCTCAATTCTCATTAAAAGGTTTTTCCAAGACAGAATAATTTTGAGCATGACAATTTATAAAAGCACATGTGGAAAATTTCCCGCACAATAAATTAAAACAAATGATCCTCCTACATCCAGAAAGTTTTAAATTTCCTCGCAGTCCAATGTCCACCCCCTCTACTCCCTTCAAAGGCTTCTTATGCTCTGCAAAAAAATATCAGGTCTTCTAAAAATTTCTTCTGGCATGACATTTTTTCTCAAGTCCAAAATGTTCTTGCAGTCAGACTGCCAGGTTTCTGGGTGTGGGATGATCATCAAGCAAATCATGATTTGGGCATAGAATCAAAAAATCAATCGAAATATTAAGAGACAAACTAAACAGAAAATTAAAAATCTAGAAACTTGTTGGGTTTCCAAGCTGTCATATTTTGAGACGGAGTGAAACATTCAGTCTAGGAAGAACCAATAATGGCAGTCATTTTTAAATGTCATGTAGTATGATAGTGTTGTACAATTCTATGTCAAATAATGAGCAGCTTGCTTGAAATATTTGCAATTTCTGAAATATTTGCAAACTTGATTCAGATATAAGTTGACAAATACTAAGGAATTTAGGAATGTAATTCTTGCCACTTAGGCCTTGTCAAACTCCACAAAAGTTTCAAAAACTAAGTTAATTGGTAAAAATTAGGCACTTTTAGATGATTTTTAAATTTGCCATCAAGATCTAGTGTTTTTAGGTAATTATAAAAACTTGCCATTAAATTTCCACTTCAGAATCAAGCGTTCCTGAGATCCGACCCCCCCCCCCCCCCCCCCCCCCTTTATATTTGGTTTGCAGTCTTGGTGTTTGCTTGAAATTTGGGCATAGCTCCCACAGGGGCCCTGTAGGCTGACAGTTTGTTTACAGCAGTTTAACTGTTTAAGGTTCATTATATATGGATATGATTGATCAGCTCGGGGGATTGCACGCTTAGTACTGTACGCGACGTTGGGGTGTGGTGTGGGTCATATTTTCTTCCAAAACACAGTTAGTACTTTTATACTAAGTGGTGGATCTGCTGCTCATTTCCCAGAAAAACAGTTAGTACATGGTACTAAATAGTGGGTCTTAGGTCAAATATGTCCAAAAACAGTTAGTAAATAAGGGTATTATTTATTAAACAGAATGTGATTGATCTTTTGTATAATTTTAAAAAGTGGCCTTTATTGACTTTTCCACTTGAGAAGGTGCAGTGTTTAATTTATTTTAAAATTTATTTCAACTACTGGTTCTTGGATGATGTGTCATGTAGTACAAACAAATGTTTCAGTACATACCATCACCTGTTACCACCAATATAATGACCTTTTGAAAGGCTGTGTCCATGCGAGTCGTATACACTGGGTCACCTCAACGAGGGGAAAACTAAGTACATGGGAATCAATATAAGAGATGATGATAACCCGACTCTGGTTGCTGGGAGCGGGAAGACCATCAAGAAAGTCAATGACTTTCAGAGGCAGCTCGTGGGAGCTGGCTGGCAGTTTTGTTGGGAGTCTAATCGATGGACTGGGGGGGGGGGGAGGGGGGCTTGGGAGCCGGCTCAAGCTGATCCCTCCAAACTACCGATTACATTACACACAGGGCCTTGTAAATGTAATGTGTAACACTTTACAGGCGACAGCAAACAAAAACAAATACTTATAACTTGGGTGAAACAGGACACCACACGTGTACGATCTCAGCCGCGCAGTATCATATAGCAGTCAAATTGCAAAGGGTCCTGGACCCCCAAATCGAGGCAAATCATAATAGATTACCTGTAGTGGGATGCACACGATGTGCTTTGTAACGTTTACAATTAACTATGTGTTAAAACTGCGCGGCTGAGTAGTCCAGAAGTAGGATTGGACTCCCTACAACACAAAATTTCACGAAGATCATGCGTGCGCTTACATTAAAACGTATGATAGTAAATGAAGACCTTTATATTGCGATTTGTTATTTCCTAACACTTTTACTAATTACTATTTCTATTTTAAGCACCAGCCACCAGATAATAATTTTAAGGCGTCCACGGACGCCTGGACGCCCTCAATAGCCGCCTCTGATGACTTTGTATATTTGGGTTACAGTAGAATGAAGAGCTTGGAGAAGGACTTCGAAGTGAGAAAAGCTAAGGCATGGGGAGCGTGTCACCAGATGAAGCTTGTATGGAAGTCGGATATGCGTAGAGATCTCAAGATACGACTGTTCTTGGCTACAGTTGAGTCCATCCTTTTATATGGTTCGGAAACATGGACTGTCAGCCAGACCCTCGCAAAACGTACTGATGGATGTTATACGAGAATGCTGAGGATGGCACTTAACATCAACTTCTCTTCTGGGAACCCCTTCAAGGACATCGTCGAAGGGGAAGATCACACCTCACATGTATTGACATCCTTCGGAAGGACACAGGGCTTGACGACTGCAAGGAGATTAACAAACTCATGCTGGATAGACAGATTTGGAAAAAACTATCTCTGTTCGGACGTTGAAGCCGCCCTAAGTTGAGTAAGTAAGTCAAGCCTGCTCCAGCAATAATTGAAGTAATTAAAGTTAGCAAAGTTTTGTGCAAGCCCAATCATATCAGAATTAAATTACTTCAAGGCATGTTTGCTATTTCAAGTTTTAAAACTGATGATTTGAAACTTTCTAGGCAATTCAGACCTCAAATTTGAGACCATGTATCATAGCAATGAAACATAAATTAGCAATATTTTTAATGCATTAAAGCCTCTGATGATAATAATAATAATAATTCTATACAGTTACATAATTGAAACAATTATGGCCCCTTATTGTGGACAGAGTATGTGTCTTTGATGAAGTGTCCTGGTATAAAACTTATCTGAGCTTGAGTGACTGCATAATTTAAGGATGATGCCTTTGATGCCTCTGATATTGATGCACTTATTGAGGTAAAATAAACCTAGATTTACAGCACCTTGGTTTAATGATAACCCCAATTTAACACTAGAGTAAAGTTAAGTAAATGTGATAACATCAATTCGTACCTGACTTAAAAGC